AAAGGTGAATACATTCAAATGTCCTCTAAATATCTTTAAGGCATCGCAATCCTTAATAAAAATGTAACTAAAATAATATCACCTTTCAAATTCACCTTTCAATTTTAATACATTTTATATTTTACAAAATAATACATTTTTTTGCGAAAAATATTTAATTTTTATATAATTTTTCACTAAGAATTTAGGATATCCCTCGGATAAAGTGTACTGTAGTTAGAGAATACAAATTCTATAAGATGAAACAAAAATAACAAAAAAGATAATTTTAAGAATAAACTTTAAAGTACTACTAGTTTACTAAAACTATATAAGATGGATATTCTGAAAAATTTATTTTATTAGAACTTTATACTTAGAGATCAAAGATTATAGAAAAATTTTAAATTTTAATGTTAATTTAGAATTACCTAAGATTTATTGAAATTATTTTAAATATAAAATGTATCTTTTCATTCCTTATAATACCTAAAGACAATTTTAAAGTTTTTAAAACATTTGATTTGTCTAAGATTCTTTTAAAATTATTCAAATACTTTAAAATTGTTTCAATCACTTTATATTAACTTAAAAATTTTTAAACTTAACTTTTACATTTGAATGAATATTTTTAAATCTTTAACTTTTTTTAAAGTAAATTTTCCCAAGGGCTATTATTTTTACATACGCATGTATGTATTGTATACACAATACATATTCTATCTTTATACATGTTGTTAAAAATAAAATTATTTATTTATCACTACGTGCGTGCGTGCGTGCACGATTTGTAACGCGTACCGTCAACAGGTGCTACATGAATTTCATGCTTGCATTAAAGATTACGCACTCTCGAATGATTATTTAAAGGCGTGCGAAACCGCGAATTGCACAGTAGCAAAATCTGTATCTCGCGCTATGTCATCCTTCCGATATTCGAAACTTGAGCGATGAGCAGTTGCATATACCAAAGGTCGTACTTTTACGTGTGTATGACGACTACATCGAATACGTGAAGGCAAATTCGGAGGTTAAAATCTATCGTCGCTGCGACTATAATCAGCCAGCGGACACACATCGACGGTTCCGCACTTAAAATAAAGGAGCGAATATCGGAATCGCGCAGTGGTCTGTTGAAAAGTGCTTCCTTTTGAATTACGTATTTCGGGCTATCAGTTTTGCGGCCCGGGCACTCGGCTTACGAAGCGATTAGAGGTGACGCGAGCATAAATCCGCTGGACACGGCGAGAACACGACATTGCGTATTCTCAGAACAACGATCTCATCGATAGACACGCGGCAGACCGATAAAACGCTAGGACACGTCGCGAGAGATTCGATTCTGAGCGACAGAGCCGTCGCTGCTGTCGTCTGGGTAGTAATGAAGCCAAAACCAAGATCGGCATGGGCATGAAACCGAAGAAAAAGACGACGAGGAAAAAAGCGACAAAAAAGCGGACTTTCGACGGCGGACGAGGCGGTGCGTTATCATTTCTACCAATATTGATGCGCTCGAGTCCTTGATCGGCGGAGCAGCCAGCGTGGCGAAACTGATATAGACGCCAGCAAAGTCGCGCGACGTCAGCTTGAAGAACTTCAACGTCACGATCACGCGAACATAGCCGCAGACTGTATCTCGCTCTGTAAACAAATACGGATGCGGATTATATCTCGGCCATTACAAACGCGGATAAGGTGTAACTGCAAAGAAAAAAAACGCCAAAGGAAAATGCCGACTGGCGCAAGTACTAATGTGCAATTGAACGAACTTGTGAGACATATGCGCGTACTTTAGAAACGTTTTCATGCGTAACACGTTATTGACGAGCGGCGCGCGCCGAAACGCGCGAACGAAAGCGATATCGTGAATCTGGACGATGCGATGGGGCCTAGTACTCACTGAGTAGCGTACTCGAAGAGGAACAATCGCGTCGTGTACTTTGACAGCTTCGACAGGTAATCTTTGACTGGTCAAGGAATTGGTGGAATATTTCAGGAACTATGACGATAAAGTATAATCGGACATCCTATCAAATGTACGATCAGAGCTTCTGCAGATGTGTCTGCGATTTCTATAAATGATAAACGCGCGTGAATTTAAAAAACTCTTCGAGATGGTGTAAAGCTCAATATTAATCCAACGGTTTTTTCATCATGTCGTTCACGCTTATATTGAGAGGGAAGAGAACCATTTTCGCGGCGAAGTACATTCCCGCCATAGACTTGAGTGACGGTGATTTCTGACGTCTGGATTTTTCCGTCTGGCGATTTTTGGGACTTATCAAACGATATCGAAATGTGAACAAATCAAACAACAAATTTTATTTCAAAGATGACGCGAAAATTACAATTCCCAAGGATTCATAGTGCGAGACATAAATGAATTTTTGAAACGCATGATTTTACAATATATCCACACCGAGTCAAGTTTGAAACCGTTGGCGTAATGCGTAGTAACAATATTAACAACAACACCGATGATGATGATGATGATGAGAGTGAATACCTGATTACGTTGCGCATACTGCAACACGATGAGATATAAGATTAAATATGCATACAGAAACTTTGGCAAACCCAAGCATTCGATCGCTGGGATTCTCGAAGCGTATACTGCGACCACGAAGATGACATGTCGATCAATATAATGAACGTAAATGTTATTCGCGTAGAGTGTGATGTGACAGCGGGCGCGTACAGCAACGACAAAAGCACACACATGATACACGAATTTTCGCTGAGTCCACGCTCGTTTTTATATCCACCAGGATATAAAAATCAGAGAGGTTGGCACAGATCATTTATCTGCCGATCATCGCACGGAGCATTATCTAACGATACGCATCGTCGATCAGAATGGACGATTACTCGATTTTCGAGGAGAAGAGAGATAGCACGTATGACGACGAAAGTGATAATATGAGCGTGAGATGCTCGTGTTAATCGGAGCGCACGCAGAGAGATAACGCATTCTTTACAAGGCCGGTAATGTCACAGCTCGATAACACTCGTTCATTCAATTGCATCAGGAAGAAGAAGCTCAGCGTGTCGAACGTTACATTTTTAAAGTCTTTCGGATTCAACGCAACATATGAGATGACTGATATCCTAAACAAAGATGAGCTGGTCTTCGACGATCATATCGTCAAGACCATTTCGATTGAAATTCACATGTATAATCCGTTCGCCAACACAATGTTCGGATACAGCGACGAGATAATACTCATACAGCAAGAGGATCTGTACACTACCGAAAGTTTTCTATACGTCGAGGAAAAATTGTCAAAGAACAAAGGATCCAGGGTGCTAACCTGGCATTGGGAAATAATTGCGTCGCATTCATATTCGATGAAATTCAATATAAACTCAACGGTGTGAAGATTAACCGTAACAAAAATGTGGGTATAACTAGCACGCTTAAAAACTATGCAACAGTGTTATCTGACAGAAAGTGATTCTGCGAAATGCTGGGATGCGCAGATTATTGCGGCCGGTTACTTTAATTTTTGTGTACCGCTCTACGTACCGCTGGGATTTTGCGAAGAGTATAAATGCGTGTTGATCAACGTTTGTCACGAATTAATTTTAATACGAGCGCGCAATAATTATCTGACAATAATTGTCTTGACAGGAGATCCGGCGACAGAGCCAACGCTCGAAATATTCAAAGTACAATGACGAATGCCGCACGTATTATTAAGCGAGATAAATAAGCTCGATGTTGTGCTTTCGAGAGCGGACGATATTTAAGCATAGCTTTTCGCTCGTGGGATCTGTACGAGATCTTTCCACTCTTGCAGAACACAATCAAGCATTCGTGAGCTATCAAGATATCTACTCAGCTCGAGAAGCCACGTCATTTTCGTTATGCAAACAAGTGGAAAATATCATGTCCGAAGATATAAATCAATTTCGACGATAAATTAACCAATCTCGATTATACCAATCGAATTAACGAAACTCTATCTGAATTCAGAATGTTATCCGTACGATGACTTGAATCTGGATTTTGACAAAAACAGATGTGCGATTCTGTACGACTTGTACGCACGTTTTTGCAAGGGCTATTACATACAAATATCTCGAGCCGAGTCTCACCTTTATGACTTTTTTACATAATGGCCCGTTCGATTATCAATTGTTCCCGACAGAACGAATGGTCAAGAATGACATTGTGTGATTAGTCTTTGAATGTAAGAAGAATGTGTCGATAAATACAACAGCCTATTGTCATCATACACACGATCGCGTAATTCAGTATAATCCATTGACTAATGTTGTGCGCAAAATCACCTAAGTGCACTTCCGACACGATATAAAATCTACGATACGTTGCAATCGAACGAAATCTTCTCGATAATACGTGCCAATGTTCGTGGATCTGCAAGGGGATTTATCGTTAACAAGAAATTTCTCGTGAAGGAAGTGATGGTGCTGAAACAGGGGACCGTTCTCAGGCATTATATTTTTATGAGTCCCGTGGAAATGGACTCCATGGACAAGATTCGACAGGTCTTGTGCTTCCTGATTGAGTGCTTACCACCATAGATTGCGATGGGAGGATGATATGGTCTCGTACAGCGAGGTGAACGCCTAATCACGGCGATTGTATTTGAAGATGATGCTATTATGTACATTAAGAGATGCGAAACGAACGTGGCTGTGGAACTTGCTTCTAGACGATGAGCGAGAACGCATGTAGATCGAGATTTTGAATGTAATTTACGTAGAAGATATGGAATCTTTAACTAATCTGGATGTTGCTGGATGTTACTATGTAATGGACAACATGTTAAGAATTATACATTACAAAATGTATTGAAAATGTATAACTGGTGGTTACAAAAAAATTTTTTAATAAAAATACGTTAATGTATTTATTACGTTAATGTATTTATTTCTTTTTCCTTTTTTTTTTGTAACATGTAAGTTTATGTATGTAAGCGGACATAACGTTTGTTTGACCTGTTTACATAATGAAAATGACGTAGCGTGGCTTCTTGAGCTGGGTAGCCGTCTTGATGGCCCATGAATGCTTGATTGTGCTCTGCAAGAACATGTGTGAATGTATGTATGTATGAAAGTATGTGTAAATGTATGTATGAACATGTGTATATATGAACGTATGTATGTATGTATGTATGTATAAACGTATGTATGTATGTATGTATCCGAAAACATCGACGCTTCTGTTAAACGCGTCGCGCCATGTTCGATCTGACAGTACATATGGTACATGCAATGTATAGGCAGTATAAGCTTTTTTCATTCAATCGTAAGCTTCAGTTACGAGCGTTAAGACATGGACCAAGTAGAAGAATATATATCGAATATATTCTTCGAAATCGATCGAGCAAAAAGAGCCGTCTCTTGTCATTAAGTCCACCAAATTCACCATCGAAAGAAAAAACGAGATCTTGGGAATGTCCAGCGGAAAAAGCATCAATATCGTCAACGTGCTCATTATCAGCGTCATCAATGTTAACGAAATATAAACCATAAAGTATAAACCATAAAGTATAAACGTTGATAAACTCGCAAACAAAGAAAATACGTAGCTGCGAAAGCTGCAATAAATGTGTCGCGACACGTTCGCAATTCTTAGAAAGAGGGGAGGAGTTCCCCCTCTTCGATTCTAGAAGTTTTATCATACGTTACAATTTATGCGGATGCAATCAGTCTTGCGATTCTCGATACTTGTAACGGTTGAAAATATATTTCTCTAAAGACAGCAACGTATCGTATGAAACGGAGAAGGACTGCAGTAACATGTAAGTTTTCAACGTTCTATACACAAAAGGAACGTTTTTTTTTGAATATTACGTACATACACAGCGTGGAGCATCGCGTGGTGCATTTACTGAACAAACGTTACGATCTGACAGTTATGGGCTACAAGTATTTGGAAATTGGAATTAACGTTGACCGAGTTACGTGGAGATCGCTCTGGGAGATCATCATGGATACGAACTGTCTCTCGAAACGTGGAAGGGCCTCTACGAGCAACGATGGAATATTTACAAGAGAGAATATTTATAAGCTGCGAAACAAATACAAGGACAATTTTATAAGCGTTGTACTGCTAACCGTCAGAGTTTGACGGTTGAATGATGTTACGCTTGTACATCTCGATTCTTCATCCATACGCATTACAATGACTGAAACGTTACGACGGATGTTTGAGTTTTATGGATGTATCAATCAAATCAAAAAACAATTAAACTGACTCGTTGATATGGTCGATGTCAAATATACGCAATTCTTCAATAATTGCATTCAAAGACGCTATACGCGATAACAACATCTTCAGTGGACATCAACTCGATTGCGAGTTATTGGCTTTAAGTTTTTAATACGTACCAAAATGACAAGTAAATATACATTTTATTACTAATCGGAAGCAGGTACTTAAAATTCGATTTAAAATTAACTAAGTTAAATTAAATTAAATTAAATTAAATTAAAATACCTGCTTATAAATATTGTAAGATCTGTATATTGTAAGATCTGTATATTGTAAAACTACATTATATATAAAAATAAACGCATATTTAAACTATATATCTGGGTGTATGGCATTATTAATTCCTTTCTAATTATTAGCAGCGCTATCATATTATGCGCGCCACATCTTCGATGGTACTGTCACGCTCATATTAAGTGTTCGCTCTATTTAAGTTTTTAAATAAAAAAATCATATGATAAAATATTTTTGCGTGCGACAAGAAAATTCAAAACAGCGACCAGATGATGACACATAAGAGGAAGAGAGACAGTAAATATATGGTAAGTGTATGCAAGCCTTTGTTACTGATGCATCTTTGGGAAGGACGGCAGGCGGCGGCGGTGAAAAATATGGAAGGCACAACGAAATGCGTCATCACGCATATTATGTAATCAATCGATCGGGGTCCTATATTTATGTAAACAGCACCAGGATTTCGCAGCGCCTTCTGTCTCCTACCCCGCGCCCACGAGTACTCTCCGCGCCCTCCGCCTCCCTCAGAGGACCAGAGTTAAAACTCGTGTTACTATACTACTTTGCAGCTAGTTGAGCAGGTTCAACAGATTTGCGCGTATAAGATGCTTCGTATCTTTGCGTACGTCACAGATTGAAGCAGTCGACGTATCGCAAAGTACTCTCTGATTGCGTCTTGCTTATCGCACATCAGCGAAGACAAAAATGGAATTTAGAAGCGCCTCGTTCAGTGGTATTACATCATTATTATTGGAGAATGTAAAATAACTAATTTCTTCAACTGGTACTAATAAATTCGCCAAGTATCGATATTTTGACTGTTGCAACGATTTCACGAGTATACGTACACGTTCTCGAAACGTATGCATGTGAACTTTTCAGCAAACTTATCAATACATTTGTTTTGCTGCAGTTCCATGGACCGCAAATGATTTCGCATATATAGAAATCGGCAACAATGTGTCAAACTATGCAGTGACACATGTCAAGAATATACTTTGATCATATCAAACCTTCTTTTTATCTATGGGATTGGCGCCGACATCAAGAATAAAGTTTGTCTGTTCTCATTCTCTTCTTAAAAATGCATTTTGGACAGTATATCAATGTGGAATTTACTTATCTTAACAACCGTAGATACGAAATCACATTACTTTTCAAACATATTTCAAACAACTTCAAATTATACAACTCATATCGTAAGAATGCACTCTGACGAACGTTTTTATCTATGGATTCGACGCCAATAATAATAATAAAATTTTATCTATTTCCATGCTTTCTTTCCAAAAATATTTCGACTTATCTTTTCGACTACGATAAAAAAAATCATCCCTTCGGAAACATGTTCAAACATATTAGAACATGTTAGAGCATGCAGCATACCAAAAAATGATTCATCTTCGGTATGGTATAAAACGAAAAGATTTCTTTTTAGGAGCACATATTTTTGCTAGCAGTCGAGTTTAGAGTTTTCTTCAACGTTATATTGATGTTACATCAGTATGTTTAATGGAAAAAATGGATTTTGCACCTCACGATGAAGGATGAAGTGATAAGCGAAGGAATAAATTCATATGATAATAAATATCAATATGAAGAAATTTCTGACTAGAAAATGTCCAATGAAGATCATGCTCTGTCAAATGATTTGTTTCGGCAGTGACATGGAAAACGATGATGATATAATAAATATATCGAGATTTAAATCGAGCTCAAGTATTAGGTATACAACTTTGCTTCCGCCGTTTTTTTTCGAAATTCGAGGTTTTATTGTAAAAAACTGGTTATACATTTATGATTCAAAGTATTGTCCATCGCTGGCCACTACTTTTTCCCATCTTTTGGGTAGCGTACGAATCCCGCGTCGAAAAAACTGATACTGAAAGAACTGATCATCTTTTGAGGCTATCTACGAATCGATCCAATTTTTTATTTCTTCATAAGACCGGAAGTGTTGGTCAGCCAGGCCGTGTGCCATTGATCGAAACAAGTGATAGTCAGAGGGAGCAACGTCTGGAGAATACGGCGGGTGGGGTAGGACTTCCCATTTCAACGTTTCCAAGTATGTCTTGACCACTTTCGCAACATGGGGTCGAGCATTGTCATGCTGCAAAATCACTTTATCGTATCTCTCGTATTGCGGCCGTTTGTCTTTCAATTGCTTTCGATACCGATCGCCTGTGATTGTTTCAGTCGGTTTTAACAATTAATAATATATTCGACTACGTCGAGCTGGTCCCACCAAATACAGAGCATGACCTTGGACGTCAAAATCACCGTTCTTGAAGCGTTGAAACCACTCACGACACGTTCTTTCACTAATAGTGGCCTCACCATAAGTATTTGAGAGCATTCGATGAGCCTCAGCCGCAGATTTCTTCATATTGAAGCAAAAAATTAAAACCTCCCGCAAATGACGAGAATTTGGCTCGTAAACTGACATTTTCAATCGAGAATAACTTTATGATGCAGACACAAATCGATTAATGTTTCTATGGGGTTATGTTGACAAATGCCCAAGTTTATTGTATGACGTCTATGATCTATTTATTTCGACCACCACTTACCGCTAAAGCCATCTACAGGAAAACGGCGGAAGCAAAGTTGTACACCTAATAAATACCTTACGTCCTGTAAAAAAGAGCTGCATTGAATTCTATTACATTGGAAGATGCACTCAGATGGAAGATACACTCATGGAAGATATTGCTCATCATGCATCGAGAGTAAGAATAAACGATCAATTTCAAGTCTTCGTGCCGTATCGAAAACGTGCCGACGTATGTGCAATTCTCGAAGGATATTCCTGTTTGGAATGTTTCCTTTATCAAATAATGCTGTGTAATATATGTCTATTTGTATACAGTGGTACAAGAAAAGTGAGTGATATGAAAGTTTTGTCAAAAATACAAAAAAATATATTAAAAATATACATTTTCTCGAAGCTTTTTTAATGAAAAGACTGTGAAAAAGAGGATATTATAATATGGAGCAAACGGAGCATAATCTAAAACAAGCCGCTCAATTGAATACGCGAGAAGAATTTTTTGCGTGGGAATAACGATGCAACGATTTCATCGAATTGGAAGAACAGAACTGTGTCAAACGTCCAATTATTAATTGGTATTAAACAATCGTTAATTGCTCGTATCGCGCGACTCGAAAGATTTTAAAGATTCAGTGCGTGATCGTTTTGCAAGTGGGTGCCGAGTACAGTGCGGGACTCCGATGGCGCGAGATACGGCGTTTGAAAGCCGTATACTGACCGGTGTCGTAATAAACTCCAGGCACATCGAGTCTCGCTAACCTTCCTCGAAGACGCGAGTGAAATTGTGCTGGAACGTGTACAAGACGTTATGCAGAGATATAATAATATTAAATTAAGCACTGTATTCAATGGTGAATTCATATCGGGTAATAAACGTGCGAATAAAAATGTAAACACGAGAAATTATTACTCTTTCGAATGTCCGATCTAGAAGAATAGTACGCGTCACGCGTGATTAAGCCTATTCTAGCATCATTGGAGGAATTCCAGGAGCGTGATAGCGGGTGGACGCTGTCGCCTATCTTGAATTTAACTGTTAACGTGAACAAGTACAATCCATTGCACGTGGGTTGTCACATTGTCTTACCGAGAAAAATTAAAATGAAGAGAGCGATGGTCAATGTACAATCCTTGGGAAATGCGTGTTTCGCGTGGTCAGTGATTACCGCTTTACATCCTGAAGAAACTAGAAGTCATCATAGCCTCACTATAATCGTATCGTACTAAATCTCCAAGATATTGTGTTCTCGATGACGTTGAATCAAATAAAAAAATTTAAGAATCTCAACGACATTTCAATCAACGTATACAGTAACGAGGAATATAATAAAATTCTTCCACTGCGGCTCATCAATCGGAAGAGGGACAAGCACGTAAACCTCTTGTACGTGGAGGATACGCGGGATGATAATGGGGCATTTTGCATGGATCAAGGATTTCTTGCCTTGTCAGCTCACAACTCAATAAAAAAGAGCATAAAAAATACTTTTGTGACAGGTATGTATATACATTTAATAAAAAAAAAGATATAAATATTTTTAGCAACATTGTTTTTTATAAATAATAATAATTTTTATATATTAGGTGTACAACTTTGCTTCCGCCGTTTTTCTATAGATGGCTTTAGCGGTAAGTGGTGGTCGAAATAAATAGATCATAGACGTCATACAATAAACTTGGGCATCTGTCAACATAATCCCATAGAAACATTAGTCGATTTGTGTCTGCATCATAAAGTTATTCTCGATTGAAAATGTCAGTTTACGAGCCAAATTCTCGTCATTTGCGGGAGGTTTTAATTTTTTGCTTCAATATGAAAAAATCTGCGGCTGAGGCTCATCGAATGCTCTTAAATACTTATGAGGCCACTATTAGTGAAAGAACGTGTCGTGAGTGGTTTCAACGCTTCAAGAACGATGATTTTGATGTCCAAGGTCATGCTCTGTATTTGGTGGGACCAGCTCGGCGTAATGTATTATGAACTGTTAAAACTGACTGAAACAATCACAGGCGATCGGTATCGAACGCAATTGATGCGTTTGAGCCGAGCATTGAAAGACAAACGGCCGCA